GTGACTCGAGAGATGGTGATGACTCGGAGAGCTGAGTCGACTTGGGATTCACTCGGAGGAGAAGAGACCCACTTGATGATTAGAGGGAACCGAAGAGTGGTGAGATTCCGGTGGATGTGATCGGCGGCGGAGAGGAGTTGGTAGGTACGAACTCCGGCGAAAGCATGCTGTGCAAGAGAGAGAGACTCCTCGTAAGCTGAGTCACAAGCCGAGTTGAACTCGGGCGAGTTGGATAGAGTCGTTTTGACTCGCTTTGAGCCAGATATCCCCATTTTCTCTCTCTTCTGAGAGACCAACAAAATCTATTAATCTGATTTTGTAGTTCATTTCTGACCGTTGGATTAACCCGTAAATTAATCGGTCAGACAAAAGTAAAGATAACTWCAGTATCTTTTTATTTAATGATTTAAAATAAACTAACAAATTTTGAATATTAAACTTTTTTTTTTGTTTTAAATAATAGGATTTGGCCATTGGATTCTGCAGAGCAAAACAAGACGACAAATACAGAGATCTAGTGAAAGGATATGCCAAAGTAAAATACAATTATTTTTAATAAAAACTTTATTCATTATTAAGACATTATTATTACTTGAACGTACCATCCACCTTAATATTTTATTACACAAACCATTACACATGCAAGATTCAACACACAGAGCGGATGCGTTTGCGTTTTGCGGCTGCGATTAAAACGTGGATCGTTCGTTTAAACCTGATCCAGGCTTGTCGCTGCAGTAATCGCATAAGCATTTAACCGCACCGCCTTCTCCCCAAAGGCATCGTCCACCTTTAGCCCCCTTTTTCTCACGGCAATTAGTGTAACAAATCGTCGGAAATATCCGAGGCGCACAAAAGCTGAAACCAACATTACCGCCGTATTCTTTCAGGCACTCGCTATCCTGCGCTTTTGTCTCTGGCACTTCTGCTCAATCGCATAAAAGAGACTTTTAAGCAACTATATAAATTGTTGACAAAAAAAAAGAAGCAACTATATAAACCAAACGCAAACGCAAATCTTTAAGAAAAAAGTGTGAGAAATGAAGAGTTAAGTTAGTTAAACTACCAAAGATAACCAAACAGAGGATGAAAAAGATGGCCAAGGTAGAAACTGACTTCGTTGCCATGGTCTCTCTCTCTCTCCTAGTCTATTTGCCTTACTTTGGAGTTAACGTATGTGTGGATGGACTTAACACTTGTTGTGGTGCTATGCTATTTATCTCTGCCGGTGGGACATAATAAATGTTAGAAAAAATCACGAGTCACATTAGCTGTCATCATCATGTTTTTTTTTTTTTTTTGTCACGACTATCATCATGTATCTAAGAAATGTAATTTAAAAACCTATGTTGTATGGAAACTCCACCCAAGATCCGTTTTCCGTTTCGGAAATGGAAACGCAATTAAAACACGGGGAAACGCAATTATATTCCAATTTGGAAACGTTTTTAAAACGTGTTTTCAAAATTGGAAACGTTGCCGGAAACGCGTTTCCAAAATTGGAAACGCGACTTTTGGTTTTAGAAACAAATTGAATAAATATTTTAAAAATATAGAGATTTGTTTGTCGTTTTTAATAAATTTTAAAACTTAATTATTAAACAATAATACATTCATTTTTCTTTAATCATCACCGTAACCTAAAAAGATAGAAGAATCAAAGAGATAAGTAAGGTATATTTTCTAATTACAGTATATTTGTTATTGATTATTGAAATCGTGAAGTCGTATACATAACGAAGTGTTTTTTTGTTCGAGTCGGATTAGAATTGTGTTGCTTCAAATATTTTAAGACTATTGATATATTTTGTTTCATGATATATATACGTTTCCAAAACGTTTCCGTTTCTTTTTTTTTAAAGAAAAAATCGTTTTCGCGTTTTATAATCTTTCGCTTCCATGTTTCGGTTTCCGATTCTATACAACTTAGTTAAAAAAAAAAAGTAACCACATTTGTGATGTTCATTAAAAACGTGATAGAATTGTTTGGTTTTTTTAAATGTAATAATTAGGTTCAAACCAAACATTTGTTTTAAATACGGAGCAGCTGTGTTTGCGTTTGCGTTTGCATTTGCCATCAAAACATATAACGATCGTACCTGATACAGGCTCGTTGCTCCTGTAGTTGTAGAGGCACTTGACTTCGGCACCTCCCCAACGGCAAATTCCACCTTCCGCACCCCTGTTCTTAATGCAGTTCAGATGACAATCTATCCCAAACTCACAATAGATGAAACCAGCGCCCTTTTCGTATTCTATCAAGCATTCGCTATCCTGCGTTTTTGTCTCGGGCACTTCTGCTCATTCATTTATACAAATTAAGAGACTTTTAAGCAAATATTAATCACATAGTAATGAAACTTGCTATATGTATCACAAACTTCAAACGCAAACTTGTGTTAACAAAGGAATAATGTCCACAATTCAACATCAATTCCATCCCAAACACTCTTCAAAGGCATAGATC